AAACGAGCATTTCCACCATACACCAATCAGCAATAATGGGTGAGAATCCTCTGCTGCTGTCTCCTTTCCCGGCCTAGCCCCAAAAACATAACTCAAAGAAAGGCAAGTCCTTGCACGTTGCATGTTTCAGACAGGTTTCAGAAACAATCACAGGTGGTGAGACTGCCAAATGGAGGTAGATTTTGATGTGAAAGGAGAAATCTGAGAGCTACCCTGCCTACTTAACGCTGAAGAAAAACAAAGCTGCCGAACAAGCCACAGTGAGAGAAAGTTAGCTATCTGCAAAAGTTTAAATTCTTATTACTTGTCTCTGCTCCAGTGGTTCCCCTCTTCGAAAGGAAGTGAGCTTACTCCGACCGTGGACTCAGTGAACATTTTATACTGATCAGGGGAAGAGGAAGTGCTTGTGTAGCTGGTGACATCTGCAACCTTTCCTCCAGCACATGGCTTGGCACATCTCCTCTAGCACATGGTCCATTACCTGAATTAAACATGCGTAGGAACTCCCAAGCCCGGTATAGATTGTTGCTTTTCTTACATGATGTATATGCATCACACTAGTTGGCTTGTGGTTTGGAGACAAAGGTGATTAAAAATAATCACCGGTCTGTCCAATTGTGGGAGTTACCTGAGCTGTATATTCTGCCCGAATACAGGAAGTAATGGATAACTGAGACAACGTAAAAGAGGCAGCAAAAAACCTGCCTTGGAGCTCTTCACCAGCTTTTCAGTTAAATAGCTAATAGTGCTATAGGAAAAAGGAAAGCCTGAATGAAATGGAGCAGGCAATATTTACGCATCCTGTTCCAGTGAGTGAATGCATCCACTGAAGTCAGGGTTCATTCAGCTTCCCACTACATACCTTCAGAGGAAACGTGCAAGTTCAGATTAAACCCTAAGTGTTCCGAAACAGTGTTGTACAGCTGTCCTCCAGCCTATTAAAAAGCACTCCTTTTTTCCAAGCCGAGTCAGAATCAAAGCACAGCCAGCATTTGCACGTCTACTATAACATGGCTCTCACACACACACACACACACACACACACACACTCTTCTGTCATGCTTTACAGAATAAAAGCTCAATACATAATTTATCTACTACACACTCTTGGAAAGTAGTAATTACACTATACATGCATAAAAATCAGACAGTGAATTTAAACGACTTGTTAAAGGCCACAAAACAAGTTGGTGGCTAAGCCAAGATAACTGCAGTTCCCGGAGTGTAGGCCTCCGAGTAATCCACTATCAGAGAAAGCAACATGTTACTGAACTAATTTTGCCTAGCGAAAATAAGGAACAAAAGGAAATAACGTTTTAAAAATATAGTTTCTGAAACCATGGCAATTCAGCTTACATCTTCTGGTTTACTAATCAGGCTTATAAAACAAGAGATGCAGAAGGATACCGGCTGATTTTTCATTATTCGTACCATTAATTTCACTGTGAACTAGGTATTGACCCTTCCATCAATGGCTGAACATGGGCAGGCTCATTAAATACTAACAATTCTCTAAAATACAAATTTGAGTCCACACACAAACATGTACCAGTTTTGCTGTTAGCACAGAACCTCACCAGACACATTTCAAGCAGTGGCTCTCACAGGGCTCTAAGGGCTCTTCCTCCTACATGTCGAAGAATTTTTTTACTGATAAAGACTGTGTATATGAGCTAACTATCCATGCCCTTTCAGTGAAAAAACAAATAAGTACAAGACAAAGTGTTCAAGCCCACAGTCATTCAGAGATAAGCCAGAAGTAGCAGCTGTGAAATATGAATAATGATACTGACCTCCATAGTACAGCAGTTAGTATTTCTTTACTGTAGCTTTTTTTTTTTAAATATATATCAGTGAGAACATAATTGCTGTTTAGAATAGGGAAGCATGTACAGAGAAATAATTTCATTTTCATAAATACTAAAAAACCCGACCCTGAGGGGCAGTGCTGGAGTGAGATGTTATTTGGAAAACGAGTTAAGTTACTACTACAGGGTCATTAACACCAACTGGAAGATAATAAAAGGAAAACTAAAACTCCAACTCAGCACAACTTTGTGACCAGGAATAGGCTGCTACATCACACCTTGTCTCTGTGGATCTGTTTATAATCCAAGCACAAGCCACTCTGGGGACTAGATTACAACATATATATGGAATCATATTCATGTAGATATCGTGGACTAACATCAAAACCAGGCAAAGCTAAGTGTTTGTAGCACAGGCGAGGAACTTTGTGTCACCAGTAAGGATGTCACCGAAAGAGGATCGTCCAAGTGCAAGCTGCAGAATCTTAAAGCCATGTACTGAAAGCCTGTTCCCTCAACTCCTGAAATTGTGAATCAGTTCTATCTCCCAACAGGCAGAGCTGAATTTAACCAAACTACACATGGTTTTCACACAGCTTTTCAATGCCTCGAATCTACTGAGGAGAGATTTGGTGCTGCTCTGCCCTTCTTTACGTTGTGTAAAATGGCCAGGCTGCTTCTACCGATTTCTTAAAACCAGAGTGGCCTTTTCCTTTTTGGAACATGCAAGTCTGACTTTTTTAAAAGGAATTTTGAACTCAAAGCAGGAAGAAATAAGCCGTGCCTGCGTGTAAGCTTCACAGCATGCTGCCAACCAACATTTTCCCTTAAAGCTGTACCACAGCATTGGAAACACATCTACAAACGGCCCCTCCTGGAGATAAAACACCTAGCTAAGAAAACAGTGGACACATTTCTCCTTAGGAGTAAGCAGGAATCTTGCTTTGAAAGCTGCTGAGGGTGGCAGGTTTGGTTTTGTTTAACTAAAACTCATTCCCTCTCTAGGCGGTGCACTTCACAGAGGAAAAATAAATAGGCTAGAAAAAACCCCCAGAAGCTTGCAGGGGGAAAACCTGCAGGGAAGCAAGCTGCAATGTAAACAGGGAGGCAGAACAGGGCTGGGGGTCAGGAGGGCAGGGCTGGATCTGGCAGCGGGACCGCAGGTACAGCCCCTGCCCCACGCCGGGGCGGAGGCAGGAAAAGGGGGCCAGGAGCCACTTTCCAAAAAGGAAATTTCACCCTGCCCAGGATTTCCAAACTGCAATAATTTTCCATGGGCCAATCAGGGAGGAGCAAGGCAAACACACCAAATTAGGAAAGTAAATACTGGAAGGGGGAGAGGAAGGAGGAGGAGGAGGAGGAGAGCTCATGCAACCACCTCCCAAAGTCAGCGATGGGAAAGGGGTGTGGGTCCCACGCTGAGCCCCCGCCAGCCGTCCCAGAGCTGCCCTTGGGAAAGGGGAGAGGATACTGTGCCAGCCTCACCCACCACCGTGAAGCCACCAAGATAGCAGAGAGCTGCCCTAAAAGCCAGATGGCCAGAATGCATAGCTACATGCTCCCCGAAGAGCGTTCCCCTTCTCAGGCAGAAACACCCAAATCACTTCCCAAAGCGTGGCCCGCAGGGTACAAGAGCTGCAAGACCCTGTGGAGGGAGAGGGGAAGGGTGAAGGGGCTGAGCAGGGATGTTTACAAACGTGTCAGCCCCTCCTCTGCAAGAGGAACTCGGAAACGAAAGGGGTTTGGCAAGTGAAACCTCAGATGTCTTTTGAGGTTTTCTGAAGACTTGGCTGGATTAGCTTCTGCTCAAGACAAACGGATGCAATCATTAATCATCCTTAGTAAACACTCCGTTAGGGGCCGAGCACAATTCAACACTACTATTTCCACTTTCTCCTTATGCAAAAGAAACATTCTCGGGGAGTCAAATATCAGTTGCAGGCATATGCCAGAGTCAAAAGATACAGCCTCTGTTAGTAACACAAACCACACTGCTGCTTTGCGCAAGATGACTGAATGGAAACTAACTACCATATGTTGGCAAAGAAACCATCCCCCTCCCCTCCCAGCAACAAGCTTCATCTAAAAAGAGAAGGTTAAATATAAACTAAAAGCAGTGCCTGAACAGAGGACTAAAACCACAGCTACCTCCAGCCCCCTCTTTCTAGAATATCTGCACTGCACATCTGCGCAGCTCTGCAAGACCGGGGGAAAAACCCAAACAAGCGAGCGCCTCCAGATCTATGCAAAACCAAACTGGCTTCACTGTCACACCAAAGTCGTTCTCAGCCACATAAATTTGAATACTACTCACTGAATTAGTGCTAACTGTCAGAAGATGTTTGTGTATTATACCTTTTTACGAATGTACCGGGAAGAAAACAAACCAAAGGCCGTTACTACTACCAGGTACACTCTTGCTATTCTGAGGCCCGCGTGTTTTAAAACTAATACATCATCCTATACCATGAGTCTACTTTACTTTATAAAATTTATTGTACTTCAAGTAACAGCTTTAATGTTAAAGGAGATCACACTGCAGCTCCATAACATCAACTCTTTGCTGAGAAGAAAGAAAATATTCCAGACAGTAGCTTGATGTTCAGCTTATTTCTACTGCACATTCATGAATCAGATAATTTACAAAACAGGATACTCACACAGATGTACATTCAGATTGCTACAGCCCCTCAGTACATGGTCAGCATCCTACCCCCATTTCCTTCTATTCCCAGGAAACCACACGCCAATGGCCACACTAGTCCCTAACTTCAGATAACACCGGCACCACCCAGCAACAACAGAATATTATTGAGATAAAAATAAAAGGGGCAGTCCTAACATAGAAAATATTTGCCTGCTTTGTTTTCTCCATGCATATAGGTAGCTCTTGATGGATATTTCTAAATCCACTGCCAAAGATAAGAGTAGTAACTCTACAGTGTGAAACTAACACTCAAGTTCCCCCCCATAAATCCTTTAACCTCTTAAACAAAACCCTTGTGCCCTACTTCCAGCCACCATAACACAATTTTTAGCTGTCTTCCACCATTTTGAACATCAGATATTTAACTAGTTATTTTTAAAGGGGCTTTTCCTGCCCCAAATATACCAAAAAAACCAGGGCTGACAGACTGGTGTCAGAGAACACAGAGTTTCCAGAAAGCACACTTTGGATAGTTAACATCTTACCTGATAGTGCCTGTGGGGGACGGGAGGGGACTGACCACGCTCCGGAGATCCGGCTCCGGGATGTGGATCTTCAGAGGCGATATTTGAGGGTAAAGTGGCCGAAGGGGAGGCGACGAGGCTTCCTCTTTTACTTCCTCTTTATGGTACAAAGATGTGAACTGGATCTTTATAACCGTGCTAGGGAATCGGAAAGTACACCTGTAAGGGAAAGAAAGGGAAAAGTCAGTTTCACACACAATAGTAAACATATTTAAGTGTTCTTGTATGCAAATGGTGAATCATTAATTCATTCATAGCACAGAAGTCCACCATTCTCTGTAACATCTTTCTGCCCGGTGTCCTGGGCAGAATTACCGATCATTCATAAATCCCCGTAAATGTATCATATTGTATCATGTATCACCTAGTGATTAGAGGCAAGCTGGAGGTTCGGGTAAGTTAAGTGATTTCCCCAAGGCCATGTATTCGATCAATGACTAAGCAAGATGCAGAACTATAATGACAAACTCTTGGGTTCCTGCTACATCAAGGACTAGGATTTATCTTTTATTAGCTCCTTGCACATAAGTCAGGAAGACAGAAGTTACTAGAAAGTATCAAACCACAAACAACAGGGAGCAAAGAGCCATAAAGTCCAGGCAGAGCAACAAACACCCTCCAGGTAAGACCAGTCAGCACTATTTAAAGACTGGCCTCTACATACTGTATAACTAATACCCATTTATATCTCTGCACGTGATGCTAAAGGATCATCTAGCAGGTTCCAGATTAAAATACATTCATTTAGAAGTGCCTCCTTTTAGACAGCATGGGTTATAGCTAACAGGGTCGGAACAGTGCCCCGGCAAGCCCACGGAGCCCCATTTGTTCTCTAAATAACTCTTCTTTCCAATTGTTATTTAGGGGAGGGGTGTGGGGGGGGAAATCACACATCTACAAGTGTAGCCTTTCAGAGACGCTGGGAAATTCAAAAGGAAATAAGCACTGACATTTTCCATATTTGAACAGAAAGCTTTCTAATTTATAGTGTCTGCAATAGGCACAGGGCTGTAAGAGCGAGTGTTCTGCAATTCTTCTTATTGCGCTTTAATTAGACAATAATGTGCAATCAATACAAGCTTTCCAGGGATCATTTCACTGATAGTAAGGTTAAAGCAGCAGGAAATAAAAACCAGGTTTCACCGTGGGAAAGGCCAGCAGAGCACAGTAATTGTGCTGGCTTCCAGCATCTTGCCTATAGAAGGAAATGAAGGGACTCGGGCAGTGTTGCTCCAGCACTGTAAGTGCTGGTGTAGGCTGAACATAATTCTTTTAACCACTGCATTATTGAATCCTGCCAGGTAACAGAACAAAGTGGCAGGCACGTAAATCTGTAATTGCGACCACCTTATCTTAATGCTGCTATCCATGGAAATGCAGAGAAACATCCTATCACAGCTCTAAAAACATATTCTCTTTGCTCTTGATTCTTCCGCACACACTAGTTCTGCTGTAAGGTAATATTCAGAAACCTGCCAGGAAGAGTGCAAAATTATCATTCAGGCATGGGAAGCTCATTCCCATCTCCCAACTCACTTCTCAAATGAGCTGGCTCAGCATTCAGCCGTTTGGACTCACTGCGGCTCTACTACGTACAACAGGAGTTTGCATTGCATCTAATTCACTTCAGAGGTCCAGCCACCTGCGCTCATTAATGCATTAAATAAGAACATCATTGCTGGCAATGCAGCGTAATCGTGTTTGTCTAACCCTTCTAAACATTGTTTCCTGCAGACTCAATAAAAATGCACAGTTCAAAATCGCAGAGTGTCCGTGCCTTGCCATGTCTGCCGGCAGCAGGCGTGCAGCTTACTGAGATGAACCCAAAAGGCGGCTGTTGAACCACTACTCTGGATTTTAAGCTTTCGTACTGCTACATAGATTTGCTTATAGAAAAAAGCAGAGAATGCAACGAGCATCACGTGGACTAAGGCTCAATACCAGTATGAGCAAAACCTCATCATTTCTCAAGCCCTTAGCAGGGAAAAGCTGAGCTTTTTTTCTCAGAGCAATGGAATTCTCTGCTGTAACGCCAGGTGCTCGGCATTTTTCAACATCCGAGTCAGGGACAAATCAGTCCTTGTTTAACAGTGTTCAGTGCAATCCCAAGCTGCTGCCGATCTCAACGGGCCTGACTGCACAGAGCCCTAAGGCAGCGTTGCAGCACTGTCGAGGGCAGATCCCCACTGCAGCTTCACAGCAGTAAGGAGCTCTACCCCACTGCCACTTAAGTCTTCCTTTTCAGAAGGACCCAGTAGTGCAAGATCCACATCTCCTACACATTAATGCTTCCAGGTGATGGTGCAACTAACTCCTCAACTCCACTGTACTTGCTGATGTTAGATAATGTTAGATACGATATGTTAGTTGATACCTGCACCCAAAACACCGTGAGGCAGTCCCATCAGTCTGTAAGTATGGACAATCTTAACAAAATGTGTTACTTTTCCAAAATCATGAGTCAACCTGAAATATGAAGTCTAAATGATCCCTGTAAACAAGCGCTGAAAAGCCCCATCTAACATTGCTTTTCCTTGAGAGCCTCCCCAAAGCTATCCGATTCAGCCACGTGACTTACCCGCAATCTCAGACTGGAACAAGGGAAGAGAATCAGAAAGGCTGGGCTGACTACATAAGCAAACAATTTGTTGGCTGCTGTGATTTCTTTTTTAGAAAGACAGAACAGAAACAGAACCCAGGACATACAACTAGTTTTCACACGTTATGCTGGCTAGCACGTACATGGCCATTTTCTAAGGAACCAGTCCCAGAAAAATCAGAGAGTGGATATATGCTGGAGTGCTCACGGCTTTAGAAGGCTTCTGCAGCCTGGTCTATGCTGGCACTGCCTGCAAAGCCAAGGTGGGGGTAATTTATCCAAATGGATGCTTTTACTGCTGTAAAAACCTGGGACCCAAGAAATGGAAATGCAATGGAAAATAGATGGTAAATTCCTGCAGAACTCCTCCCCTCCCTCAGGGATGAGAAAGTGCCTGGGATTGATGTTACTGTTCCAGTCCTTATCATGACCACCACAGTAATGCAAAGAGTGACAAAGCACAGCCCAAGACACTGCTTCAAATCAGCATACACCCACCAATGCTGGGGACCTGTGTCAACGAGAAATCGGAAAAGATGATTTCTGAATCAGCTTGTCACAGGAAGATCACTTTTCATTACACTAAACCTGAATGCAGTTTTAATGAGCTTTTCTAATTGTTCCCTTAATTAACCTCTTTCCGACCAAAAGAGGATAAACTCAAATTATATCAGGCAGTCCTATTTAGGAGTGAGGCCCATTAGGGCAGGATTTAAGCATGTGAGAATTAGACTTCTACAGATGACAGGCAGCCCAAGCTGAACTTAAGACTGCCGTATATATTTCAAGTTATTTAAACTGAGTTATACCGTTTGATCCATGCTGCATGATTCCTATCAAAGATGCACAGCAATTACTACTACTGCTTAACATTTCCATCATGAGAAAAAGATCAATCTGAAAGCACAGATTAGACTCAACATAAAAAGCATAATGAAGTTAACTGGTATTTCCAAGGGTGCCCAAGAGGCAACTCTTCAGCACCTCTGAAATTTCCAGCTGATTACAGGGGGTAAATTAATGATCTGCAAAATTTCTTGATCTTGTTACACGCAGGAAGCAACCTGCTTCAATTCAAAAACTGCTGAGTTTTACTCGAGAACCTGGCTACAGAGAGGTACATCCTGCAATCCAGGGCCATATAAACCATACATATTGTACTCATACACAATTATAGTATGTTGCATACATCTCAATTCCTTGTGGGAAAGGATTCCTATTTCTCTAGGATGCCTTGCAGGGCAGTGAGAATAGAAAGCTTTTTTTAGTTTGTGTTAAAACTGAAAATACAAACACACACCCAAACCTCCATAAACTGCCAAGAAACAATTCTTGCCTTATGAGATTACAGGCAGGAGAAAGTCAAAGAAAATGGATTGCTGGCTCCCTGCTGCATGCTTCAGTTCACAGACTTCACAGCACTCGCTGAATGCATGCTATATATACATTGGAGACTGAGGGGAGGAGAAGGACTGCACATGCCACACATGGTTACAGTGCTATAAAAGACGTTGCTAGATTTTTCGCTGGTTCATTTGTTTTAAATAACACAGATTTTCCAAAAGTTTCCTGGATGAGCTCCTCACACTGACAGCACAGCACCCACGCTATTAGGCGTCCTTCCCTGTGGTGAACCAGTGACAGTGACCACAAGCATTTCATCTACGTAAGGTCTGAAAATAAAGTGCTCGGGAACACTAGACTTTACATGAACAGTCACCCCAAAGCAGACTTCAGGAAAAATGGTTAGGTAAAAAAACCCAAGAAAACGACTCCATACCCTGCATGACTATAAAAAGCAGATATATTCTCCCACTCCTCAAAGCACCTTTTACTCACAGATGCAAAGAAAACTGCAGTGCATTTGCCAAAACATAGTACCAGCTTCAATAGAGGCTATTACCGTCACCGATTTCTTTGTTAGAGCACCTCGAGTGCTGTTCAACACCAAATGACTTCTGCTAAGATCTGCTGCACAGCAGCAAGAAAAGGCTATTTAAAGATGTTTAAAGGAGACAGGAAACTGTGCTGGATTTATGTTTTTACATTTACACTGTGGAAAAGCACAGGGACAAAATGGAGAAGACAAATCATGAAAAAGCCAAGGTGAAACATACATATAAAAACATATATATACAAAAATGTATATATAAAACCTGGGATGATATTTATATATATTATGTAATATATCTATAAATGTAACATAAAATATCATATGTTATGTCATATATATAAACATCATTCCAGTTTATTATGCAAGAGGGAATAACCAGAAAAGTAAGTTGGAAGACTGTTACACATTAGTTGTCATCAAGTTGGTACTATCTTTGTCTATTTTATCTTGCCATAATTTATGAAATCCTGTTATTCCTGAATGTTGCAGGTACAAATGCACCAGTAGCATCTGTTCTACAACAGCGCCGAGATGCAGGTTGAGCAAGGAACATGTTATGAAATGCTTTGTTAAAAATAACACTTTTCACAATTTGAATCAGAACAGTAACACACTCCTGAGGTTTTATTTAAAAAACTTAGTTAAACATGATTGTCTCCCTGTGCTGCAACTGCCATTTGTTTTTAAACTTGCAGATACTGTTACCACACCACTAACTCTCAGTATCTAAATCTTTCTCTCTGCCACATGATGCGAGGGGACAGTAGCCCAATTCTTAAGGATGAGGCAGTCATCTCTACAATCAGTAAATTCCTTGGATTCAGCAAACACAGACAGCCAGAGCTTTAGTCACA